ACATTAAAAAATCTGTGTGACATCATTAATCACTAAGGAGATGCAAATTAAAAAAAAAAAAAAAAAGACGCAATGAAATACCACTATGCACCTATTAGATGGCAAAACAAAAAACCCCAAATGAATATATCTGATGCTGACAAGGATGTAGTGCAACTGAATTCTTGTGTATCACTGCTGGGAATGCAGAATTGTAGAGTGCACATACAATCCAGCAACCTTACTTCTAGGTGTTTCCCCAAGGGAATTGAAAACCTATGTCCACGCAAAAGCCTGTATGTGTATACTACTAGTGGCTTTATTCATAATTATTAAGTGCCTTAGAAAGTTTTAAATTTCAATGGATTTAGATTTAGTTTCGGCTTTTGAGAGCAGGTTTGGATCAGGATCCAAGAGAATTTCTGAGAGCAGTTAACACTTGGTGGGAAAACTGCCCCATCAAAGGAAAACCACCAGTAAAGCCTGAGTGTGTTCACAACTGTTTTGTCAAAGCGTAGCTCTTATAAGGGCAGTCTTGGAGATAATGGCTACATCAAGGAAATGGTTTAATTGTCAGAATCCCTTATGGACTGCCGAGGCACATTCATCCTTTGAAACCAGGAGAAACTTCAGAGTTTGCTATTCTCCATAAAAAGGGTCGGGGACCGAGAAAAGGTTCTCTAGAGTATAAATATGTCTTGGGATACAGTGGAAAAGAAATTACTTGCAGGATTTGCAGATAAAATATAGGATGCCCAGTTAAATTTCAATTTCAGGTAAGTAACAACTTTTACATAGGGCATACTTCACTAAAAAATTATCTGTTGTTGGTCTGAAATTCAAACTTAGCTGTGTGTCCTGTGTTTTCATTTGCTAAATCTGGCAACCTAAACTGGTGAGACTCTTGAACCACATGGTCTTATTTAATGTAACTTAGCGTTGAGAAGAAATCTAATTACTTGTGTGGAATAATCATTTATTTACGTGGAAGTTTTAAGCTTGTTGTGGAACTTTTCAAAATGAATTCTGATGATACAGATTACAAAATGAAGATAATTTCATAATTTTGTTAACTTCAAATTCTAAAATTATAAACATTGCCCTTCTTACTCTGTTTAAAAAGATATAATGGGTCTAATATGAATATATAAAAAGGTTGTTTGTGCTTAACAAGAAAAAACCTCATTTGGTTTTGTAACAAAATGTAAAGACCTACAAAAAAAAAAAATGTCTCCTGTGTGAAAACACCAAGCATATGTTAGAAATTCTGCATTAGTACAGACTCCATTGTAAGAGTCCTTCAACCTTCACTAATGATGAATGCTATCACATACCGTTGTCTTCCTGTAATGGGGTAAAAATCTGTGTGTAACCATGTGGAGCAATGGAAGAGGGAAGAAGACACAAGAAGGAAAAAAATTCATCAGTTTAAGAATATTTTGAGTTGAGGATTAGATGGTTTAACACGTCTACCCTGTTCAAATGATATTTTCACATTATTCCCTTGTGAAAAGAACCACAAAGACAACTTATAGATGTCTGACTTGTACATAAGAATCACTGGTAGAAAACAGAAACAATAGCAATTCAAAAGTAATTTTTTTCAACTTAAGTAAACATAGTTTTTGACCATCTTACCGTGTATTGGATGCTGGATCAGGCATTTTGTGGGATACAAGTATGACTAGGTACTTAAGGAACTAAACATCTGGTAGGGTAGAAAGACGCATGCATAAGTAAACACAATACAAGGCAAGTTGTCAGCTAAAATAATAGGTTGAAAATGCAATCAGAGCATAAAAGGCAGTGATATTCTGGTGGTGGTAAGTCAGCAAAAACGTCATTGAAAAGTGGCTCTTGAGATGGCTCTGGACAAGTAGGGACAGAGTGGTGGGGAGAACAGAGGAGCAGGAAGAGGCAGAGCTGGGCAGGTGCATTGTTTGGGTTTAAAGCAGCAAAACTGCTTTGAATACATGATGTGGGAGGAGTTATTTATAAAATGAATGTCTCTGCGTGACCTGGCTCCTGCCTCTCTCGACTCAAGTGTTTTTGCCCTGGCTCATTACCCCCTTGCCCCATGCACGTGGAGCGCTTTACTCTCCCAACCTGCATCCCTAGCCAATTCATTATCCTCACTGAGGGTCAGTTTTACTGTTGCTTTCTCTGCAAAGCTTTCTCTGACCACCTTTACCTTCAAACTAGTTGGGTTCCTATATCGTATATCATGGCACCCCATACCTTAATATGTTTGTCACACGTATGGTTAAGAAATAAACATGTATCTCATTAGATTATACATTGCCTAAAGACAAGGACCTTTTTCTGTCTTGTTCACTGTTTTAACTTCTGGGCCTTAGCACAGTCCCTGGCACACAGAAGATACCTGACAAATTGTTGATGAATGAATTATGGTAATACGTTTTATGTGTGGTTGAATATAGCTTCAAATGCTTTCACAGTGTTGACAGTTCTGTTAAATTACAGGGGTTATAAGAAAGTTATATTTTAGAATTTGTAAGAAATATATAAGCAAATTAATAGCTTAACCCATATGGATTTCTATAACTTAAAGCAATTTCATAGAAGACAGTGTGTGTGTGTGTGTGCGCTATATACCAAAGTTCAAACATGTTTTTTTAGTGAAGGGCAGGAAAACTAGAAATACAACAAACAATAAAGGCACACAATGGAATACTGAAATAAACCTCGATAATCTTCAAATACCTTTAGAGACAGCACCTTCTATTTTAAAGAGTATCTTTATACTTTTTTAGTCACATGCAAGTGCTATCCTAAATTTAGCTAAATTCAAAATATGCCTCATATTTGAATTTAATAGTCAGTATTCATTTACTTTCAGAATCCTCTCCAGCTTCAAAATAGAAGGATTTTAATAGTGCCCGTATACCCATTGAATGAATATATAATTGTGCTCTCTGCAGCAAAGTCCCAATACTTCATTACTAGATTTATATTGATTAGAAGGGATGGCATTCAAGCTGGTAACCAGTTATCTCATTTACTGAATCGTTAGTGAAGGAAATCATTAAAATATCCCACGTATGAATCTACGGTTGCCTCCAAGTTCCAACTAGATTTGAATGACACACTTTTTTCATTTTTATAATTAAGTACTAGAAACATTTTATTGTAAAGACTGATGAATATATCGAATATGCTTTGTTTTATAAAGTCTGATTTTCCAACTGTAAGATACTGGCACTTGGGGAAAAAACAATCACTTAAATGAAAACTAAAAATATAAAGCCTATGTTTAAAACATGGCCTTTATTAATACTGCCCACTGAGCTCCATTTTTATTTTACATTGAAATACTTCTGCTTTGCAAAGAAAAGACAGGAAAGTGCATTTTACAAGAGTACTTTTTTTCTTTTTAATTCTCTGCGAAAATGGAAGGAATCTGAATCACAAGTTCACAATGTGGTAAAATGAAATTAAGAAACAATGATTTCAGTAATGCTATGCCATCACTAGTGTTTGGCTCTGACTTTGTTCTTGTAAATCAGATCCTGATATACAGTCTAGAGCATCTAGGTTATTACTCTACAGCATATTAAACACAGAAAAGGAGGTTTAAAAAAAACCCCTTTCAATGTACAAACATGAATTTAAAAACTGATTTTAAAAAATCACCTTTTTACATAATGTATATGGCAAAAATGCTTTAAATACATGATTTTGGAAGAATTATTTACAAAATGTATCAGTCTGTGGAACAATTCACAGACAAAGCATACATAGTTGCTTTACTTAGTTGTTGCATCTCAACTTTGGGAGATAAGAAATTTATTCGGCAGTATAGCAAACATAAAAACTATGACAAAGTATTGTAAGGGCAACCAAAAATTTGATCCTCGAAACAGTTTAAATACTAGGACTGCCAAAGTTTCTAAACGAGGACATACTTTAATGATGCAGATGCCCATTTAGAGTCCGTGCTGTCTGAAGGACGGAGACGCGCTCCCTTCAGCGCGGGCAGAGCTGCTGGATGCAACCTCCTGTGAAAGGGACAGCTGAGAGCTATTGTCATCCAAAGAGTGAATTAACCTAGAATTTTCTTTTTTTCCATTTTATTAATATTTTAAAAAATACATAAAAATACAACATCCAATGTCTGAATAAATATATTTAACAAGTTGCAAGATAATACCTTATTTTACACAAAATTTTCAGCTTTAGAAATCTTGTTAAATAACTTCATTGTTGTTATATATTTCATTTTTGTCTTTTTGTAACAAAATAAAAACTCTGAAATTACATAGAAAAAAGACAAAATATTTTTGTCAAGGGATAAGATAGTCCACTGAAAACTTATTCACAATTCCACTGTAAACATTAATAAACATTAAAATATTTGCATAATTGTGTGCTCAAAAATCCTATAAAAAGTGGAAGACTTATTACAACTGTAGTTTTCAGTCAACTACACTTCCTTTCACAATGTATTTTGTCCCATTTACACCTTTAAACCTGGGCACACTGCTGAACATATACTTTGGCAGTTCTAAATAGCAAGTGCTTCCACAAAAATAAAAAAACAACAGCAACAATAATTAAAAAAAAAAACACAACATAAACCCCCTACTCACCAAGTGTTCAAATACATCTTAGTGAAAGTGCAGCAGTCACTATTCAGCTGGATAATATTTTGATGTTTATCATGTGCACTTGCTTGTCTATGATTTCTATAACATTTGAAAGCTTTATTATACAAATTCAAATTTGCTAAGTGCCCTTTTTCTATCTTCACAAAAAATGAAAAATTAGGAAAAATTATGACAAATATGGCAGGCTGCCTAACCTTCAGTTATTAATCAGCTTATTGTTTGCAACAGAAAAAAAAAAGAAAAGAGAGGGAATAGATACAATCCAGCCTGGAAAAGTATACAGGATATACTTAGCAATGTCAAACCAGTTGAGTGCTTTCTGTGGTTGTATTTCAGGGTTTTGGGATTTATGTCCATGGCAGCAAACTGCTGGGAAGGCAGAGAAAGCGTTCATCACCTGCATTCTACAGCAAGCACATTTTGTGGGGGAGATGATGATGATGGGCTCATTCCAGTGTCTGACGAAGCAGATGACATGGAGGCTCCTGCATGAGACACTGCGGAAGCCAAACAACTACATTAGACCCAAAATGATCAAAGATACCTAGCCACTGGCAAATTAGAAATACATTTACCATTCATTTCAATCAGTCCCCTTAAATGTGCTAAAGGAATAACATCTCACAGAATTTCCTGTAACCAGCTAACCACTGGCTTCCTATCCTTATCCTGCCCGACAGACCTAATGGACACGACATTCCCACAGGCAACAGTAGTTATCTAGGTCAGGTATCAGAATCATAAGGATCGGGATGGAAGTGTAGTTGTGTGATTAGAAAAAAGTCCTCACGTGACTTTAACATAACGCTCCAGGAGGAAATAATACAGGTTAAGGATCACCACTCTGTGCATTTCGTACTTTGCCATTTTTTTATGTATTTTATCTTCTCTTTCTTGGCAACCCTTTCCTATCTCCTGCCAATCTTTGCCTAATTGTTCCTAAATAAGAATTTAGGAAATTTAAAAATTAAAATTAAAAATTTTTGTTTAAGTAGATCTCTCTCAGTGTATACATGTACTATCACTGTGACATGTAACTTGTTATTATAAATTCTAATATGCAGAAGTCACTCAATGTCTCACTTTAATAACTCACTTCACACTAAAAAAAACTAAGAAAACAAAAAAGGGAAGACTGTAATGAAAGAATCTTTTTTTAGTTGTGTGAAACTCCTATCACCTTTAGGAAATTTAAAGCAGGTCAGGGTGCTCTGAAGAAATTTCAATTTGTTAATTTGCTTTTCTTTTTGTGTTTAGAAGTTCTGTAAAGACTGCCTGCTATTTACAGTCTTTAAAGAAAAGGACAAACATGGAAAGCCTGATCTCCTTCCATTAGCTCCGTCTTATTTCTAGGAGTAAAGATTGCTGGACTTGGACTGGATTCAAGACCACATATAATACAACTCATCTTCTCAGAAATACATCCCCAGAGTCTCTGCATTGGCAGAAAACTCTCAATATGGGCAAGCCTGTCGGGTAATTTACCTTTTTGTAAGAGACCGCCTTCCCAAAGCCCTCCCCTCATGTACATCCTACTTCTGGAATAGTTGGCTCTCTCGGCCTGCTCTGCAGTGGTCATTCTATAGCTTTCACTCATCACCTTGGTATTTGCCTCACTATTTTCCTAGGTAGGATTCCTTGTTTGCTGGATCTCATGTTGTCTTCTTAGCTTTCTAGTTTCTAGTTTGGCTTCTAGTTTCTAGTGCTACCATTGAGAAATCTGACATGAGAAACCTGATGCTGTTCTGAGACCCTTTTTTTAGATATTTTATTTTATTTATTTTAGAGAGTACACGCACGAACACAGGGGAGGGGCAGAAGGAGAGAGAGAGCCAGAAGGACAGACCATCTTAAGCAGGCTCCATGCTCAGCACAGAGCCCAACTTAGGACTCAATCCCACCATGTCATGATCATGACCTGAGCGGAAATCAAGAGTGGGTCACTCAACCAACTGAGCCACCCAGGCGCCCCTAGATACGCCTTTATATGATAAAATTTTAGGATCTTCTTGTTACACATAGGATTCTGAAATTTCACAATGTGCTTTGGTGTGATTTTTTCCCCCATTCTTTAGAGAGATTACGGTGAATTCTTTCAATCTCCTAATTCATATCCTTTATTTCTGGAAATTTTTCTTATAATAGTTCTTTGATGACAGTGTCCTATGTTTATTCAGTGCTTTTTCTAGAAATTCTGTGATTCAGAAGGTGTATCTCTTGGCCAGATCCTATACTTCTCTTAGTTCTTTTCCCCTATTGTCTTTTTGACCATCTACTGGAATTTCTTTAGCTTTGCTCTCTCTTCTATTACATTTTTTAAATTCCTATCATATTTTTAATTTTTGAGAGATCCTTCTTGGTCCCTGAATTGTATTACTAGTATCATATTTTCGTCTCAAGGCTGCAATACCTTTCCTGCGTCTGTGTCTAGCTATAGTTTGATGTTCTGGATAGGACATTGTCTGTTTTTTCCAAGGTCCTTTTTTTACTCTCATTTTCTACTTTGGTTTCTACCTTTATGTAGAAGCCTTCCTATCTGCTCTTGTGGCTTCCATATTTAAAAGGAGGATATCAAAAAGCCAACTGGAAGCTGTGCACAAGTATGCAGAGCTTTTCAGTGATGGGCAGTATATATGTACTGATTGGCAAGGATCTTGCTTTTTGGTTCAGGAACCTCCAAATGTTGGTATCTGTGTTAGTCATTCCTCTTGGGTTGAACAGCTTCTCCAGAGGAATTCTTCAGTCTCCTCCCAAGAATGAGCATAAGCTTAGTTGTCAGCTTTCAGGAAGCCAAAAGGATAAGAGTTACAGTTGGAAAAGGCATAGGAATCTCATCATTCAGTATTGTATACTTCTGCTCAAGCTCCTTATTTCTGGTTTTGCACTTAACCCTCACCTTCAGTTAAGACTGGTGTACCTGAAGTCTACAAGCCTATTCATTCCCCTCTCCCTCCAATAAGTTAATTTCTTATTTTTCTGCTAAAGCTGCAGAAAAGGGTAGTTTGTTTCACAGCATGGGACGAAAGAATCCAATTTCTCCTTCCATTTTCAACCAATCATTTTTAATCTCACATATATCCCTGCTTTCTGGGGTGATATGATATAGACTGGCTTGCTTCTTGTTTTGTCCTAATGCAAGGATAAACAAGCTTAGGTTTTTGCATTCTGCTAGGACAGTTACAGCTGTCTGTCTGCTTCTCAGCTTGTAAGAGTTAAGCTGTTGATATGTCTTGTCTACTGTGGTCTGCTGCCCCCTTATCTTGTTCTTGTGGGTACAGGGCTTTTCTTTACTCTTATTTTATAGTGGGGCTTGGGGATGGATCTGATGTGAATATACCAATGTTTAGCTATAATTCTGTGCAGTTTTAAGGTATAGGCCAGGCATTACTCTCTCTCCAAGATTAATCCAAACTAATCTCTCCTTCCACCAAGTAGTATCACTCTTGGGGCCCTCCTCACACACTCTCCCACTAGAAGTTAAGATCTTTTGAGATCAAGGTCCGTATTTCATTCATCTCTGTACTTACCACCTGGAAGAGGGCCTAGCACATAGTGTGTATGCATTAATGTTGTTGAGCTGAACTGTTTCAATGAATGTTGTTGAGCTGCTTAGGAAATAATTTATGATCCCAACAAAATAGTCTCTTTGAAGATAAGCTCATATGTCCATTAATTTTGGTGAACCTCATAATAACAGATATAGTGCCTGTTAATAGGTAGCCAATAAACGTATGTTGAGCAAAGACTGAATTTCAGAGGGAGTAACTCTTCTTGAGAACCCATCACATTTAGTAAAATCACACATTTTGTAAAACAGTTCATAGTCCTTTTCAAGAATCTCATCCTGATTAATTCAGTTGTTGACTCACTCATTTCAACAATAGCACAAAGACAGCATAAGGAATCTAAAAACAACAATGTGTACTATATATATTCAAAGACTAACCTAAATCTTCAAAAATGATAGTATATATTTGAAAAACAGAAGGAAGAAAAATTACAATCAAATTACCTTCTCTGTCTTTCTTTTTTAATCTTTTTCTCCTCCTGTCTATGGTTGCCACTTCGGATTTCAAAGACATGTAATATTTTCTTATTTCTTGTAATTTTTCTTGGAGAAAAGAGATTCTCTCTGTACTGTTCATATTATCTAATTCATCTAAAAGGGAAAAAAAAGTTAATTTGGTTTAAAAAAATTACTTAAAAGAATATGGCAGTTCTATCAAAAATCCAACTTATAAATCCTCAAAAGCTTTAATTTATGAAAACTTTTACATATTAATAGCTAAATAAGGCTCTATAAACAAGTATGACACTAATTACATTCATGAGTAAGATTTCTGTATGTAACTCAAATTTCTTGTACTAAATATATATTACTTAATGATGTATTACTTAAATGATCAGCAAATAACAAGAAAACATCAACACACAGCAACTGTGATCTATAATTATATTTATCTAAATTGTTTCTTTGTATAGATGATTTTTTCGTTTATTAGTTATTTACAATTACCAATACTAGAAAGGGTATTTCAGTTTCAATGATATATACAAATCACCATCTTATTTTGTAACTGGAGATCTTTCAGGTTAGTATTTATCAGGTTAGTATCATGAAAAGATACAGATTTATATTTAAGTGGTAATTACTGATAAGGCAACATTTGGAAACCTACATAAATGAATTTGGTAATCATTCTTTCTCATTTTGACATTTTAAGGTAAGTACCACTTTACAATATACATTCAGGTTTTCTAAAGCTTCTTACTGAGTTGAAAGCTCCATTTATATGTTCTAGGGGATGAATTTGGATGTTTATCCCTGTGTTTATCTTTTTCTCCATCTTTGATGTGAGGGGAAATCCTTGCAGGAGATCGTGCAAGCTTCTGTGGCTTAGACACACTAAGATGCTTTACTGGTGTACATTTACTTGAATTGTCCAGGACAGGAAGATCTTCACTATCACTGCTTTGTCCTATAATAAGAAAAAATTGATTCAGAGATTATAAATGATAAAAATCTCAAATATCAAAATGCAGCAGACCCAGCAATTGCATTTTTGTAATATCCTACAGAAATAAGTGTACAAATGCACACTTTTTTTAATGTGTATTTATTTTTGAGAAAAATAAAGAGCGTGAGCGGGGGAGGGGCAGAGAGAGAGGGAGACACAGAAACCGAAGCAGGCTCCAGGCTCTGAGCTGTCAGCACAGAGCCCAACGCAGGGCCTGAACCCACGAACCGTGAAATCAAGACCTGAGCGGAAGTCTGGTGCTTAACCGACTGAGCCACCCAGGTGCCCCACAAATGCACAAATTTCTTAATAGCAAAGAAATAGACATCTAAATGCCCACCAGTAGGAAAATGGTTAAAAATTATACACGGTTGATCACTGAACAACGTCGGGGTTAGAGGCACCGACCCCCATGCAGTCAAAAATCTACAATTACTTTTGACTCCTCCAAAACCTATTTACTAATAATAGCATGCTGTTGGCCAGAAGCCTTACTGATAACAAAGTTGAGTAACACACACTGGTATGTTATATACAACATTATATACTGTACTCTTATAACAAATTAATCTACAAAAAAAAATGTTAGAAAATCACAAGGAAAATACATTTACAGTACTGTAAAAAATCTGTTTATAAGTGGACCTGCACAATTTAAACTTGTGTTGTTCAAGGGTCAAATATACTACTGAATACTTTGCTAAAGTGGTTAAAAAGAATTAGCTAAAGTTTATAAGAACAAAAATGGCAAAATATCCAATATATATTATTAAATGAAAACTCAAAGTTATGAAACAATATGTGTAGTATTGCCCCATTTATGTTTAAAACCAAAAACAACCCAAACTGCATAATTGAAGAAGGACAGAAACACCTGATGTATACACATCCTTTAACATATATATATGTTTGCATACATATGAATTGCATAATTGTTTGCAATTCTATCCCTCCTCACCAAATTTGTACTTAGAGATGCTTTTGCTCTTCACTTCATCATAAATTAGAATTGTTTCCTCCCCCCTCCCCCATCTTCTATATCCTACTTCCACCCTACTCTCTCTCAAAAGCCAACCTTGCCTTCTGACAAGGCAAGGTTGAGGGTTACCCACTCAATTTCCCAGCCTCTCCTCTATCTGTATCTGTCTTTATTGACTTTTTTTTTGGGGGGGGGTGGGGTCAAAAAGAGAGTGTTTCTGAAGACTACTCTCTTCAGCTGTACTCTTAAAACCATCCACTCCCAGCTCCCCTGGAATATCTCAACATCAATTACCATCTTCTTTTAGCTTCAACTTCTTTTCCCAGAGTCTGCCAACATGCTTATATCTTTCCCACTCTTAGAGGAGGTAAAAAGAAAACTTCTCCTTTTAGCTGGCACCTCCTTCCTTCTCTTTTAAAGTAAAATTTCTTGGGGCGCCTGGGTGGTGCAGTCGGTTAAGCGTCCGACTTCAGCCAGGTCACGATCTCGCGGTCCGTGAGTTCGAGCCCCGCGTCGGGCTCTGGGCTGATGGCTCGGAGCCTGGAGCCTGTTTCCGATTCTGTGTCTCCCTCTCTCTCTGCCCCTCCCCCGTTCATGCTCTGTCTCTCTCTGTCCCAAAAATAAATAAACGTTGAAAAAAAAAATTTTTTTTTAAAATAAAAAAAATAAAGTAAAATTTCTTGAAAGAAACTTTGTTATCCTGATTTCCACATCTTCTAATCACATTCCTGTGCTCTTGTTAGGGTCCCAACATTTACAACTCAACAAATCCAATCAATGTATTTAATCTTATTGCATATCCAATAGCATTTGAAACTTTTTTATTCAAACCCACCGGCATTTACTGATTTGCATTTGTCTCAGATCAGTGCCCATACAGATATCTCACATAATTCTGTTGGTCCTTTTTCTCTTTTTACATCTCTTCCACAGGGATCGCATCTTCTTACAATCCTTTACACAACCATCTTCTAAAAACAGACTCTTCGAAGCTCCACACCCCTATTTCCCTAATACTGGGTATCTCTAACCCAACATTCCCTGAATTACTTACTCTTCCAACAGCCTCCTGCTACTCCTCTATCCCATGTGTCCATTAGCCAGTCCCTCATATGTAACTAATAATGACTGAGTCCTAATGATTTCACTTCCCATCTCTTTAGTTCATTTCTTCTTGCCAAAGATTAAGCCAGATATTCTTTCCCAAAAGTAAAACTGATGATCTCCTTTCTTCCTTTTTAATCCTTTTTACTTTGAGACAATCTTCAAACTTAGAAAAAAGCTGTAAGAACAGTTACCAAAAAATGTTTTTCTGACCCATTTGAAGGTTAAGTTGCCCTGCCACACTTGAGTATTTGGTGTTTATTTCTTATAAACAAGAACATTCTCCTCGTGTTATCTGCAGACTGGCCCCCAACTTAGCAGTTTATATGTCATATTTCTGAGTGTTGGAATCTGGGAGCAGCTTGGTTGAGTGATCTGGTTCAGGTAATTCTTGTGATGTGGCAGTCAAGCTTTTAGCTGAGGCTGTGGTCTCTGTAGACTTGACTAGAGCTGAAGGATATGCTTCCAAGACGGTTCACTCGCATGGCTACTACTGGCAGGAGGCCTCAGTTCCTTGCTGGCTGTTGGCAGGATAAGCTCAGTTCCTCACCATGTGGACCTCTCTATACCTGCTGTGCCGTCATGACTTGGCAGCCAACCTTCACCAGAGCAAGTGATCCAAGGGAGAGCAAGGAGGAATCTGGAGTGCCTTTCATGACCTGTTCTCTTGAAGTCCTACTCTATCACTTCATTTGTTACAAGTGAGTCACTGAATTCAGCCCACATGCAAGGGAAGGGAATCAGGCTTTGCCTCTTGAAGAGGGGACTATCAGTAAATTTGTAGATCTGTTTTTAAAACCACCACACTCTTATAGAACCACAATACAACCATCAAAATCATGAAATGAACACAAATCTATTATCATCATCCAATCTTCCTATCCCATACAAGTTTCTCTACTTGACCTGGTAATGTCTTTTGTAACAATAGGATCCAGGTGAGAATTATATGCTGCATTTAATTGTCATGTCTCCTAAGTCTCCTTTCATCTGGAACAGTTCCTCTTGCTCTGACTTTCATGACCTTGACAATTTCTCAAATTGCAGACCAGTTATTTTACAGAATACCCTTCAGTTTGAATTTGTTGATGGTTCCTCATGATTACATTCAGGTTATGCATCTTTGACAGGAATGTCACAGAAGTGCAGCTGTGTTCTTCTTGTATCCTGCCAGGTAGTACATGATTTCCTCTTGTCCCATTACTGATGGGGTTCACTTTATGTGACAAACGTAGTATCTGCCAGGCACAATGATGTTATTCAGTTGCCCTTGGTAATTCCTACTGCCTCTCTCTTCTCATTTCCCATCGCTCTTTCTCTCTACATCTGTATTGTCCAGCCACAGGTGGCTATGGTTCAGAAATTTTCCTTTGAAATGGCTTTGATCTTGTATAAAATTATATGCTCCTTCTGTGGAATATGTATCTACTATAACCTGGAATTTTCCTTTCAGACTTGTATGAAGGCTTATTTTAGAGATAAAACTTTAATTTGTCAAAATCAACCATGTTTATTTCTATTATATTCTATGACTTGGTTTTTATTCCTTATGGTACAAAAATCTCATGTAATCTGTTGATTCATACTGATTTGTTAATTTCTTCGTTTATTTCCACATGAATTTCATTATCCTCCATTTTAAAAATACTGTGATACTATTTAGGAATCAGCTTTTCTAGATTAAAGTAAACCATTCCATTCAGAAATGTAAACTTAATCTGTTTTTACCACTAGAGCAAATATTACTTTTCTATTATTCAAGATCCTCAAATACATTCCTCAATATTAAACTGCTTTACATAAGAAATACAAACGAAGTAAACATAAAAAAATAATCACAGCTATTCCAGCTCCAAATAAAATTGATCAGCCCTTCAGATCAAAAACTAATGGGAAAACTGCTATTTTCAGAACATAATAAACCAAATTTATTTTTAAATTGACACAAATGATCAAGCCAACAAAATGCTGAAAATATTAACTAAATTTATGCTGTCTAAAGCCAGCATTGGAAAGCACCAACCTGTTCCATTCTTTTCAGTTTTGGCTACAGCACTTGTTCGCTTTGGGGTACGCTTTTGCTTTTTTGCCAATAATCCACTATTTCCATCATTTGGCCTTTTCTGACCTGAAATAAGGGGGAAGAGACGACTTGAAAAATACATACATTTTGGATACCATTAGTTTATTATAAAAGACATGGAAATTATTTACAGGATGAGAGATTTCAGTGGAATGGGCAGCTTCACATGATACCATTTCAATAATAATTTATTTCGGTCTGCATATTTTCTGAGAATGTCACCCTCTCTAAGAAATAATCCTCGTCATCTAGACCTACTCTAGTGCCTCCATATTCTGAGAGAAGAACTTTACCTCCAACTTTGACGCTAAATGCTTGTTATCTCTCCACCTTTCCCTTTAGAGCCCAGTCCAACAGCTACTACTGTTGCTTACAATACTTTTTCTTGAGAGTTTTGCAGAAGCATAATGCCTCCATTAGTTGCAGTTCTGGCTGTACTCCTTTCAACTAAAACTCGGTCAAAGGAGGAAGAAACTCTCTAAACGCCTGTCCTCCCATAACTCCGGCCACTGCAGTTGGTCTTCTGCGCTTGAGCCACCACCACCGCCACAAGAGCAGCTGTATTATTCACCGGTCTACTCCACATGAATTTCTCGATGTACATTTTTTTTTAAAGGCATGGGAAGGGAAAGTGGGGACGTGACGTACAAAGGAAAGAGAGAATAGGAGGGAGGGAGGGTGGGAACTTTACAGATCAAGAATGCCTAAAACTCTTAACTTACTAATTTTGGGGCTGAACGTAAAGGCTGATGTTCTCCCTAGAAAGTTCTTACCCTTCTCTCTGTTCTCTCTTTCTTGAACAATTATACTACAGGTACCAGAGGCAACACCGGCTTCAAACCCATTTGCAGATTCCCTCTCACAGAGACCTTCTTGAGATTCTTCAGCAATGCTATCAACTTCAATGGTTATGTCACTCTCACTTTTTATACTTCGAGACTCATCTTGACTGAGAGTAAGTGGTGAAGCTACTGAAAAGTGATGCTGTACAACAGGAGGTAGGGCAGGTGGAATAGAAACAAGAGAGTTAGACTCAGAGTTTTCAACTACTACATCTTCAATACTGGTCTTATCCTTCTCATCCAAATCATCCAAGTCTACTTCATGGCAAACCAAGGTCTCAGGCCCAATCAGAGGCATTGCATCCTCTTCTTCTTTTAGTGGAGTATTTACAGTTTCTTCAGCTGGACTGTCAAATTTTTCACTAGTCAATTCTTGACTGCGTTGGTTGGACTCTGCGATTAATGATGGCATTTCTTCATTTTCTACTTCAAAATGTTGTTCAAAATTTAAGTTTTTCATTCCCTCAGATGCAATACAGTCACTGGTCTTTTCTTGAGATACGCTGTTTGTCATTTCCATTCCATTCTCGATTCTTGTTTTTTTCTCTGGTGATGACTGTCCCAGTAATTTTCGTTTCAACTTTTTTTCTTTTGCACACTGGTCAATTTCATCTTCAGCAGTAGAGGAAAAATTTTTACTGTCTAGTGAAGAAAATTCTAGACTCTGAGCTTCTATATGAGATTCACTTCCTGCTTCATCCTGGCTAAATGATGAAATCTTTATAATTTCTAAAGAAAGATCTTTTGTCTTGCTTCGTCTTCCCTTTCCTTTAGGAGATTTTTCAGCCTCTTTCTTAACTTCTTCTCCTTGTTCCACTTTATTTCCAAAAATCTGTACTATTTGTTCATTCTCTCCAACTTCTAACTTCAGTGTTTCTAAAGGCTGCATTTGTGTCCTTTCGTTTTCTTTTAATATATGTGCAGCAATCTTTGGATTTTCTTCATCTAGTTTATCGTCATTCAAGTGTTCATTTTTTTCTAGTTCTTTAATATCAGGAGAAAGTTCTTCATTCATCAAATTCTTTTCTAAAAGGTCTTCTGTTTCACTATCAGATGAGCAAGAGTCTGCAAGAGGAAATATTACTGTATTACAAAGGTTTCTGTCTTAATTACCAATGTAATTTTAGAATAAAAATTCTACCACTCTAAATCATACACCACTGAATACTTCCCTGTAGAAATTCCTGGTAAATCATACATTTGGGCCAAAAAATGGGAGGGGGTGGTAAGTTGCAAAATTAACTCCATGTAAAAACACATTACACTGAAAATATTACTATCTCAAGTCTATAATAGAGCTAGTTTGGGCTATGAAAAAAATCTCAGAAATTGGGCTATGAAAAATCGTCAGAAAAAGCAAAGGACTAGTACTGAGATAGTAAGTTAATACATTAAGTGGTTTGATCTGAGGTCTAATAGATATTGATTAATAAACGTAATGGGCATTCTGTGTCTCTAGAAAGGAAGATGACATTCTATTTTTAAAAATTCTGAAAAGAAGAGATGCACAAAATGAGCAGTTTGAATTCCCAAAGGTTTAAATATTCTTTTGATTTAAAGACATAAAAGTATAGGCAAGCTACCTTCTTGCAAAAGAACTCATTCTCTTTAAGTTAGAGAATTTTTTAAAATAGTAAAGTAGGGCTGTGAGAATGTACAGGAACTGTAAAATATAAAAATTCTGCCCACATGGTACTTCTATTGTAAAGAAGTCCAAAAAGGCAAACTCAAATAGACAAGCTTCATTTGGTGGACATCTTGCATTTGTGTGTTATGATAAGCTTCCAGTAGATGGCAGTGATGAGGAGGGAGCAAGCCCTTTTCTAATTTACACACAAACACCACATGGACGAAAGGTAGTCCTAGTTCAGAATAGCTTTTTTCTTGAAGGGAGGAAAAAGTTTTGATGAGACAAGGATTTAACATTTTAAATTTCATGGGAAAACATACAAAGGTAGAAAGGTGAGAAAAAAGTTAAAAGCAAAATAAAGTATGTTCACCTATACTCATCACAAAACATGCCTATACCACGTTAGTTTGTGTGCTTTGAACACCTTGGTGTCAGCTTTGTTGAAATATCCTGCGTGAACAGCACTGAATTGTAGGAGACACTGGTGCACGCTCTGAAGGACAGTGCAGCACACAGTAGGATGCATGACTTGTCAACCCATCTTCTTTCAAAATAGAATACTCCTACAATACTGACGACAAAAGTATTCCAATTAAAGTAAGACATCACTCAGTCGTAAGTAAACATGAGAGACTAAAATATTTATCTCAGGGGCGCCTGGGTGGCTCAGTCAGTTAAGCGTCCGACTTCAGCTCAGGTCATGATCTCACGGTCCGAGGGTTCGAGCCCCGCGTCAGGCTCTGTGCTGACAGCTCAGAGCCTGGAGCCTGTTTCAGATTCTGTGTCTCCCTCTCTCTCTGACCCTCCCCCGTTCATGCTCTGTCTCTCTCTGTCTCAAAAATAAATAAACGTTAAAAAAAAATTTTTTTTAAGAAAATATTTATCTCAAATCAAGTTTTGTAGTTTAAATTATATGAGATTAAAAACTTAGATGACTTTCTATGAATCTCTCACACAAGTATAGTTTTATTGTATTATTGATTTTTTAAAAAATCAACGATCCTCAAAATTAGCACCTTCCATTCCATTTGACAGAGGTGAGCTGTCTGGCATACTGCTGCGAGCACTTCTGGTACCTGATTTTCCTTCACTGTTTGGAGTCTTAGACAAACCATATGGCATGTTTGATGAAAGGGTAGATTTTAAAGGAGGTCGTCCTCGTTTTGACTTCTGCCTCTCCTCATCCCTCTTGTCATCCTTTTCACTGTCTTCTTTATTCTGGGTAACAGCAACAAAACGTATGAGAAGGGCCGATGCCTTAGAAAAAAATGAACATTCTACCGACATTCTACTTCTCCAAGGAAAACCATAACTCAAAAAAGGTTTTATATTTTATATATCAACTCTTAGTTCATGCTTATAGAAAAACCAAAAACAAGTGGTTTTCTAACATAGTTATAATTATATGAATAAGATAGTCTATGGTTTGTAACACCGCAGTCCCACGGTGAAGGCCAGAGTCCATGCATTAGAGAACTGAACAACTACTCAGCACCCCTCCTTGTTCATTACTATTCCCTGAGGACAAGAAAGAGACCTGCCATCAAACAGACAAAACCTTAGGTGAATTTCTACAGCACAGGCTGAAAATTGAGGGTAGGGATGTTGAGCACAACTAGCCAGCAGGTATGTGTTTTAGCTTTATCTAATACTAGCTTTCAAGACAGTTGTCTGCAAAAAAAATCCTAAAATCTGACAACCCTGAGTCTGCATCCCACAAGAGTGGTGAGTTCCATCCTCTCTTGATGAGGAATGTATCCTCTTTTTTGTCACCATCAATCCTGTTTTACCCTTTTACTATAGAGCCCCTATAGACATTTGAGTTTGAAGCCTGTCTCCTAGGGAGTCCCTGGTTTTTATCTTGCCCTAAACAATATGGTAATGTGTTTACATTTTTTACTTTTTAGCTTCTGGGTTACCAGAGAGAAAATCACAATTACCTTAAAGAAATCAAGACGATTATTACAATGAGAAAACAAGATTTATAAAACACAGTATAATATAAATAATACCTATACTTATCATAAAGGATATGACTCTATATACATACTTTTGCTTTTTTCTTCTGTTTTTTCTTTGGTCCACCTTTGTCCAAAGGCCAGATTATCCTGTCAGCCTTCACCCATTCATCATACCTTAAAACAGAAAAAAATAAAACTTCACAGTAATACCTTATTTGAAATGTATGCACCAAATGAAACAGCAGTGAGGAAACTAAAGAGTTCAGTTCTACTGTTGGCAGAAACATGAAGAGCACAGGGGCTGGTGTATTGGTAACAAGTACCAGCCTGTACGAGGTGCGTTGTAAACCTGCCACCACCAGGACAAGGCAAGAAAATTTCTTAGGGTAAATGAGCAAGAAAAACCTATGCAGATTCAAGACTGTTTAAACGGCTTTTATTTTCTGTACTGAGCTTTTGTTTCCCACAGATCTGAGCTTAACAGAATAAGTTGATGTTACACTGGCATTCATTCTATTGACCAAATAATGAATGCAGAGATAAGTGAAGTGAATTCACATTTGTAACATGATCAGTTCCAGGTTTATTTATGAAGTCCTTTTCAGCTCTCTTTTCCTCCCAGAACTCTATAGCTGCTAGTATTTTTTTTTCTTTTGATGTTTATTTTTGAGAGAGGGAGAGACAGAGTGTGAACAGGGGAGGGGCAGAGAGAGAGGGACACACAGAATCTGAAGCAGGCTCCAGGCTCTGAGCTGTCAGCACAGAGCCCAATGTGGGGCTCGAACTCATGAACCGTGAGATCATGACCTGAGCCAAAGTTGGATGCTTAACCAACTGAGCCACCCAGGCGTCCCACATAGCTAATATTTTTTTTTTTTTTTAACGTTTATTCATTTCTCAGAGACAGAGACAGAGCATGAGCGGGGAAGGGACAGAGAGAGAGGGAGACACAGAATCTGAAGCAGGCTCCAGGCTCTGAGCTGTCAGCACAGAGCCCGATGCGGGGCTTGAACTCACGAACTGCAAGATCATGACCTGAGCCGAAGTCGGATGCTCAACCAACTGAGCCACCCAGGAGCCCCTCTAGTTGCTAATATTTCTAATAAAATTTTATTCTGAACTGTTACCGCTAAGACTCTGAAAAATTTTAGAGATCTTTCATTTTTTTATTAAAAATTTTTCTAAAATGTTTGTTTTTGAGAGAGAGCACAAGCAGGGGAGGGGCAGAAAGAGAGGGAGATATAGAATCCAAAGCAGGCTCCGGCTCTGAGCTGTCAGCACAGAGCCCAATGCAGGGCTCAAACTCACGAGCTGTGAGATCACGACCTGAGCCAAAGTCAGACGCTTAACCCACTGAGCCACCCAGATGCCCCAAGATCTTTCATTTCCTTTAAGTTTTTATTCTGCTTAGCTCAAATTGAAAACTCCTCATTTCCCTTATACCTTCTTCCAAAATATTGACATCACTTTTAAATTTCAACACAGTCCACATTACTAATCAGGGCAAATAAGAAACTAAACTTTCTACAACTAAATGCCAGTTCTTACACTATGTAAATATATAGGTATTTATACAGCTTAATCAAAATCTAAAATGTGAACACTCAGGCAAAAAACACTACAGGCAGTCCTTACTTTGAACTGCACCATGTTAATGGAAACCATACCCTCACTTTGTAACCTAGTTACCACGGAGCCGTGCGAAGGAAGGACACAGTTCCAATATCCACATATCGGTTGACATAAGACCGTGACTTACCTACACTATGGTTTGGAAAAACGATTTCCTCCTGGACTAACCCAATATATTCATTTTACCCGGCTTTATTCTTACTGTATTTCATAATAATCACTCACTTGGACATTTACTGAGGGCCTACTAGCATTCCGGGCACTGTCTGAGAATACAGTGTACACTGTAGAGAGTAGTAAGAAGAAGACCCTTGCTGTCATGCAGCTTGCAGTCTGGTGTAAAAGGCAGACATACAGTAAAATCGAGGACAGTCTACTAAATGCAATAAGAGGGTTATTTATGTATCTGGTCCAAGGCACAAAGGAGTAACTGCCCAGTTTCAAACTTTTACGGGACCTATCACACAACTAAGAAGCACAGGTCTGATTTAGAGTACACCTCTGATTTAGAGGCCACATGGCCTGGTCACCACAGTATGTCATGCGGGTACTCCAGTATTAATACTGCCAACCAAGGGTGGTCCCAGAATCTCTCAACTACAGACCAGCACTCCCCTCACAATTGCACATGCTACCCTGTTTTAGAAACCCAACTGGATTCTCTAGGAGCTAGAGTGGCTCTGTTTCCATCAGCAGACCGCAATTATACTAGCTTTTAGGAGTACAGAAGGACAATGAAAAACCACGAACCGTATCAGTAACCAGTTAGGTAACTAGTTGGGAAGATAACCAGTGAGGAAGAACGTGAGCATATAATAAAATGACTGTTGGGGCGCCGGGGTGGCTTAGTTGGTTAAGCATCTCACTTTGGCTTAGGTCACGATCTTGCGGTTTGTGAGTTCGAGCCCCGCGTCAGGCTCTGTGTTGACAGCTCAGAGCCTGGAGCCTGCTTCGGATTCTGTGTCTCCCTCTCTCTCTGCCCCTCCCCTGCTCAGTCTTATTCTGTTTCTCAAAAATGAATAAATTTTTAAAAATAAGTAAAATGACTTGAGAAAAGTCATATAGTAAAATATTAAAAAGATGAGAGTGAAGGATAGGAAGGGGACTTTCTAGAAAGATGAGCAGACCCACACAGAGTAAGAGTGGATGGCTGGAACTGAATGGAAGCAGAGAAAAATCAAAGGCTATAATGTGCTACAACTGCAAAGACAGTGACTCAGAGCTGACAAGATAGTACCCCTCTCCCCGAATTCAATATGTGCATACAAAACAACAGATCTCTAAGATCACTAAAGAGTTTGCACAGAACTGGTGAATCATGTTGTACAACTGAAACTAATAGGACAATGTATGTCAACTATAAATATTGAATAATAAGCATGTTTTAAAAATTAAAGTTTGTGGGGCACCTGGGTGGCTCAGTAAAGCATCCGACTCTTGGTTTTGGAGCAGGTCATGATCTCTCAGTTCATTATTTCAAGCCTCGCATCGGGCTCCAGGCTACCAGTGCAGAGCCTGCTTGGGATTCTGTCTCTATCTCCCTTTCCCTCTGCCTCCCCCTGCTCGTGCTCATATGCTCTCTCGCTCTTTCTCTTCTCAAAATATATAAACAAACTTAAACAAGTTTCTTTCTAGTGTTGGCACAAGTGTGAAGAACATAGGGACCAGTCTGAGAAATTTTAAAGTTTTATATGCTATTCATTAAACCCATACTTTTTTTTTTTCCTTAAAGTTATTTGAGAGAGAGAGAGAGAATGCATGTTGGAAACAGACAAAGAGGGGGAGAGAGAATCCCAAGCAGGCTCCATGCCCAGTGCAGAGCCTGATGTGGGGCTTGATCCCATGATCATGAGATCATAACCTGAGCCTAAATCAAGATTCGGACGCTTAACTGACTGAGCCACCCAGGCACACCTAAACCCATATTCTTAAAATGATGCAAAATGAAAGAAACCTAACTCTCCCTCACTAAAGAAAACAGTCAACATTTATTGAGTACTTACTGTATGCCAGGCACTGTTCTAAGCACTTTGTATGTTAATACAGGTGTTAAGCACTATTTCTCACAACATTTTATAAAGCAGGTGCTTTATCTTACCCGATTTAGAGGTGAAGGAATTGACACATAACAGCACATTTCTAGTATGTAAGGAAACCTTGAAGCACTCTGGCTCCAAGCAAATACAGGGCAAGCAGAGATATTAAACGCATAAGGCTTTCCAAAGGGGAAAGGGAAGAGTAGAGGAACTGGCCTGGTACTATCAGCTACAGAACTGATCTGGACTCAAAGCTACATGCAGTTGTTCTCCTGTTGAACATCAACAGTTTCACAGAACATCAACATCAGATAAGCCTATCCCATGACCATGACAGATCAAGACAAAAAGAAGACCACTTCATAATAGTATCTAAACACAGGATAAAAAGGAATATTATCCAACCCACAAAAATGACCAACATCCTTTTATCTTGAGTGACTAACTGCTGCTTCTTTATCAATTACAATACTAACCTTGGTCTAGTCTTCTCTTCTTCTAGATAAGATTTATTAAGAAAACCAATCACACAATTATCACCACTTCTTGACCACATCCAATCTACAGCAAAACCCACTTCCTTAAACCCTCCCTAAAATCATCTAACAAGCTCAAATCTGAGTCCTAACATTTTTAAATTAATCAACTTAGAATTATAATACTTGATACAAGCTTGATTTATTTTATTTTTAAATTTTATTTATTTATTTTAACATTTATTCATTTTTGAGAGAGAGAAAGAGTCTGAGTGGAGGAGGGGCAGAGAGAGAGGGAGACACGGAATCCGAAGCAGGCTCCAGGCTCTGAGTTGTTAACACACAGCTCGACACAGAACTCCAACCCATGAACTGTGAGATCATGACCTAAGCCAAAGTCAAGACACTTAACTGACTGAGCCACCCCGGTGCCCCGATATGAGAATGATTTTGAATAAATGTAATAGACAAACCACCTGCACCATTGGGAGCTGCAGGCCTGCCTCCCTGCCCATGGTCTGCAGGATGTTTCCATAAAATCCTGGGCTACTGCTGTTTCCAGAGGCGGTGCCTTGGACTTTCATGAATTCATCTAACACTCTCTTGATGAATGCCCCATGGTATCCCTTACTGTGTTCTCCCTCACTGCAAATGAGCAATAAATCCAACCTGTTCAACTACACATAGGATCTTGGTGACCCTTGCCTGAAGTACTGACACAGCTAGTAAAGCACTGGAGATGTTAAAAGTCTTGGAAAATTCAGATAAAAGGTATGCTTTGTAACCATTTGTTTTATATATACCATTTTCTTTGGTTCTTCACAACATTAATCTTTTTGAACCATGGAAATAAATTTCAATAGTAAGAAAATACGTTTTCTGCTTACCTGACATTCCATCCATAGTAATGTACCAAGTATAAAACTTCTCCATCATCAATTTCAGTGCTTTTAATACTAGCTTCATAGATTTTCTGCGTTTTTCCTCGACCATATTTTACTTTCACTTTGGTTCCTGTTAGGCAGGGTTCCATGTCTTCCTCATCTTCCTCCCCATCAGAGTCACATTTGCTTTCAGTTTCTTCCCTGCAGCAAGTTATAACATTGATAATGCTACTAATAATTTAATGGAGAACTAATATATGCTAAAAGAATTCAACATGTAGAATAGTTAAAACCTAAGTATTACCTTAATAGCATGTCAGTGGAGGAGGAGAAGAAGGAGGAGAAGGAGAAGATTTTTATGGACTACCTACTAAGGAATTTATTACGTAACGGTGCACTGTACCACAAGTAAATCCATATTTCTTAAAGGCCAATCAATAATCACAGTTGATGATGTAGTCAAATTAATCAGTTTTGATAAAGTAAGAGCCATGTGCTTTGAAAAACTCTTTAGGATTCATATTCAAGTGCCACCTTATTATGTGAAAATTATCTAAAGATAGTTTCTAACTTCCTGCAACTAAATTGTCTTGAATCTACTTTACTACCACTCTGCTCAATTTAGAATGGTCTTTAGCATAACTGTTTTATTTTAGTGGGCAGACTAATGAACAAGGGCTATCTACCTCAGTAACCATATCTTTTAAACTAGTTTATATTTTAAAGGTTTTCCTACCGTAACAAAGAAACAACAGATATTTGAATATTAGGTCACTTGTTGAAACTGTGGGATAGCACCAGGAGAACAAAGCTTTGTGTATCTCATACTGATTTCTGTTGTGTTTTTACTCCTCTCCCACCAGCTTTTGTTTAAAATAATCAGGTATAAAAGAGATTGACATAGGGAGGTCTGACAATATTTCAGTATTTTTTATAAACAAAACATTTTGTATTAACCCTCCAAGGATTTAGAAGAGATCTACACCAAAGATCATCCTAATGTCATGAATGGTAAATGTTTCTTTCAGAGGAGGCATTATGCTCTAATAAACGTGGGGCATTTATCTGGGGAGCACTAGGGGAACCGACATGAAGAAGCTTTGACAACCTCATTTGCCCTGGGAAATGTTTTATCTCGAAGGACACATTCAATATTATAGTCTGATAAGGTAATTTCAAAATATTAAGAAACCACTTAAAACAGAAATGTCTACAGATAAAAAAATCTCCCATTTCCATGATTCCTGTTATAGAATGAGAATACGAACTATGTTTGTCTATATATTCAATCTTTATTTAATAGAAGGGCATATTTTTTTTCATATTCAAGTCTGAAATTTTCTCTGAAACAATTACTTATTCTATTTACATAGCAACTATAAAGGCTTTTAAAACCACATATTACATATATATATAGATATATATATACACACATCTATATATATACATATATACACATATATACATATATATACATGTATTACATGTTTTATGTATTAAATACATATTACACATATTTTGATGCTTATTTTTAATAAAACTTCAAACTATAATTAGCCCTGATTTAAGTGGTTCACTTTTGCTTAAATTTATTGTCCAAATATTTGAAATTCTGCACTCACATCATTATATTCAACTCCAATTTTCTCCTCCCAGTTTTCCTAATCCTATTTCGATACAGAACTTTCTTTATTCACTCATCTAATTCACATGTAATTGTGATAGCTCTTGTACCTATTTGGACTGAATCATAAAATCACCTCTCCCACTCACCAATCATTCCTATTTTTACAAGTATTTTCTCAATGGTTAATTTTTAGATGGGTGTCAGCCACTAGTTGGATGCAGCAGGCTACTTTTTCCCAATTTTACTTAAACTTCTAGAAAATTTGTCATCATATAATGTAGTAATCAAAAAGTAACTATGGAGAAGAGCTCATGTTACAAGAACGTGTGTTATGCTGTTGTTGCTGAATTAAGATTCATTTTTTAGTAGCATATAAAAATTAGTAAATCCATTTGACAACACAGAAATGGCCAACTAAACACAGTCGGACATTAATTTGCTCTAGCTGGACTGCCTAATCTTTGGTAATGTTTAAGTCAGTTCAGTCCATACATGTATAATACATGGAAAAAAAATACCAACACTCAACAGCAAACAGAATGGACATTAAAAAACTGAAATTTATTGGTGTGATGTGGGGCAAGAATGTATTTTCCAAACTAGCATCAGGGGTGCATGCCACTTACTCTAATACAATAACTTGAAAAGAAAAATGTCTTAGATAAAGCTAACACACAGAAACATCTGCTAGTACTGTGCACCCATGTGTTTGTTAGCTTTCCCACATTGTACCTTTTTTAAAATGGAATTTTTGCTGTCGCTGTTTCCTCTTGTCCACTTCCTCCATTTTTCTCCAGCTCCCTTCCCTGCTGTCAACTGCAGGACCTTTCTTTTGACTGGGTGGCGCAGCCTTCTGTGAGGCCACTGTTTAGGGCACAAGTGCTATTAAAATGGTGCGACCAGTATATTCTCCAATTCCGAAAGGCGATACACATCATCTTCACAATGTGTCTCACCTTCACTAGACAAGAGGAACGGAAGTCCCAATAAGAAAACATTCCCTCAAACCTGAATCTCTAAGCAGGATCAGAGCGCTGCTGTACCCCAGACAGGTGCTTCTGGAGAACAAATATAAGATAATGTACCTCTCTTGGCTTTTTTCTTCCTCTTCATCTGAGTCTTTATCAGAATCCTCCTGCTTTTTAATTTTCTTCTCCTTTTGCTTTGGTGTATTTTTTCTCCCCAGCAGTAACTCGTTTTCTTTTCTCTCCACGGTTTCATAGTCCTCAACTACATCTTTATTCTCTGTATCATTGTCTTTCAATTTGTCTTCTGTCTTGTCTTCTTCAATTTCCTTTTTAATAGAATTTGCATCTCGAGCTATTCTCCTTCGTCCCTAGAAGGGGTAAAAGCTTTAAAATAGCTATCACTACAAATGGGGAAAAAGGCAGAAAATGTTTCTTTTTCGTAAAGCTTCACAGCAATGACTAGTCTTCTCTCAGGCTTGAGACATAACAATGACAGCCCATCAATTCCTGGGCACTTTTCCTTTCAACCCATATAAATTACTTAATTATGTCCATGTCTACTATGATCCTTGGCTACATACTACATTAGAAGTAAAAATCTCTTCCTTTGTTCACATTATTTTATCTCACTTTTGTATTTCTTGACTACAATAAAATTTTAATTGAATCAGAGTTGACATGTTATATTAATTTCAGGTGTATAACACAGTCAATTGACAATTATATACATTATGCAGTGCTCACCATGGTTAAGTATAATCACCATTGGTCACCAGACAGTTATCCCAATAGTATTGAATATATCCCTTATGCTGTACTTTTCATTCCTGTGACTTATAGCTCCAAGTTTGCACCTCTGAATCCCCTATACTTACTTAGCCCATCCGCCCACTCCCTCCCTCTGGCAAACACTAGTTTATTCTCTGTATTCATCAGTCTGTTTCTCTTTTTTCGCTTATTCTTTTTTCTTTTTGAGATTCTACTTGTAAGTGAAATCATATGGGATTTGTCTTTGTCAGACTTATTTCACTTAGCATGTTTTATCCCACTTGCAATATTTCTTGGCTACAATGAATGTTCTAAAATAATTAACTACACATCAATGATACAGGTTAATAATAGTACTTTTAAAAGATTAACCAGCAAAAAAAAAAAAAAAATATTATGGACTGTTAAAGCTCTGTGGTCTCTAATTCCACCATTTTTAAGATAAAATTTACATTATCACTCTATTTCTGTGTGACTACATTTTAAAAGGATTGAATTACATCAATGGCCAACAAGTGAGCGGATTTCTTTGAATGAGTATCTAGAGAGCTCACTAGGCCGGCAGGAACTTGTCTTCCCCCAGCTTTCATCTAGCCTCTTGCATGCTCGACTGACCATGAAACTGGTGAGCCATTTTATTCTGTCCTAAGTTCTCCTTCAAGTTCACTTCTACACACTGGCAGAGTTCCCCTCTACTTGGAATAAAGTGAGGACAGAAAAGGGGCCAACAACTCAGCACTAGAAAACATTATAATTATATCTCAGTATAATACATTTTCCCTAGTTCCTAACTATTTGTTATTTAAACTTCAAAGTTAGAAAATAAGTTTATTTTTTTTTTTTATCACAAAGAACTAAAGGGTAGGTTCCATGAAGACAAGGACTCTCTTATTCACTTCTATATCCTATGCACATAGCAGGTGTTCTTTATTTTTTTAAGTAAATTTTTATTTAGTTTTATCTTTTATTTTTATAAGGTTTAGCAGGGGAGGGGCAGCAAGAGAAGGCAGGCTGTGCACTGCCAGCACAGAGCCCAGCACAGGGTCGAACTCAGGAAATTGGGAGATTGTGACCTGAGCTGAAACCAAGAATCAAACGCCTAACCATCTGAGCCACCCAGGCGCCCCAGCATATGTTCTTTAAATACTTGTAGGTAAATGAATGAAAAGAACTGTTCTCTATCAAACTTCAGGCCTGTATACCTGTATTTCAGGAGTCCCATTTTAATTTTTAATTTTGATTAATTTATTTAAATAGTTTTTAAATAATTTTTTTAAGTTTATTTATTTTGAGAGAGAGAACAGAAGCAGGGGAGGAGCAGAGAGAGAGGGAGAGACAGAATCCCAAGAGGCTCAGGGCTGAGCCTGACATGGGGCTTAAACTCACGAGTCATGAGATCATGACCTGAGCTGAAATCAAGAGTCAGATGCTTAAGTGACTGAGCCACCCAGGCCCCCATTTATTTATTTTGAGAGAGAGAGAGAGCACACACGTGAGCAGGGGGAAGAGCAGAGAGAGAGAATCCCATGCAGGCTCTGTGCTGTCAACACAGAGCCCAATGAGAGGCTTGACCCCACCAGTCATGAGATCATGACCTGAGCCAAAATCAAGACTCAGACACTTAACCGATTGGGTCACCCAGGTGCCCCTATTTATTTAAGTAATCTCTGCCCCCAATGTGGGGCTTGAACACAGGACCCTGAGATCAAGAGTCACATGCTCTTCCCAGTGAGCCAGCCAGCTGCCCCAGAAATCCCATTTTTAGAAGTTTGCCGCTCATTCATTCAAACGAGGAATTTTTATAAGCATATTTATTACAGCATTTTGTAATCATAAAAAATTGGAGAAAATCTTAAGGAAGGTAAATTTATGGAATATCCATAATATGCAGTACTCTACAGGTATTTTACATAAGATGAGAAACATCTTTATGTAACATCTTTTTATGTTAAGTTTTAAATAAAACTTAAAAAAAAAGATGAGGAACATCTTTATGTAATGACAAGAAAGTATGTCCAAAATACATATAATGGGAGTTATTATTCAGTCTTAAAAAGGAAGGAAATTGTGACACATACACAGATTCAACCTGCAAGACATTATACTGAGTGAAATAAGCCAGGCACAAAAGGACAAATACCGTATGATTCCACTTATATGAAGTACCCAGAATAGTCAAATCAGAGACAGAAAGTAGAATGGCTGTTGCCACAAGCTGGGGGAGAGAGGAATGGGAAGTTACTGTTTAATGATGAGTTTCAGTTTTGCAAGATGAAAAAAGTATTGGAGATGGATGGTGGTGATGACTGCATGACATGTGAATGTAGTTAATGCCACTGAACCATACACTTAGAAGTGGCTAAGATGATAAATTATATGTGTACTTACCACAGTTTTTTACAATTAAAAAAAATGAAAAAGAAATGAAACAAACCAATTTGAATGTTTCATGAAATTCACTAGAAGATTCCATTTACTGGATGATGGTCAGAATAGACAGTTGTTTATTTTTTTAACGTTTGTTTATTTTTGAGAAAGAGAAAGAAAGTGTGAGTAGGGAAGGAGCAGAGAGAGGGAGGGAGAGGATCCAAAGCAGGCTCTTGGTGACAGCAGACCCCGACGCAAGGCTCGAACTCATGAACCATGAGATCATGACCTGAGCTTCGGACACTTAACCAAATGAGCCACCAGGCGCCCCAAAATGGACAGTTTTAAAAAATGGTTTCCGAGCAACTAAAAGAGGTAAGAGGTGATTTCATCTCCTCTTTCATTAAATAGGATTTCACTGAAAAATAAGACATAATAGTAACTGAACTTCTTTGATAATGTGATAATTTTTTCTCCTAAAATTTAATAAGTCCTATGTAGACATCATTGAGCAATGATCAAAATAATGGATGACAACTTCTGCAAAGGACTTAAATAATAATGGAGAAGAGCAGATTAGAAGATAAAAGCAGTGTGCACATGACTAGAAAATAAGATGAAGCATAATAAACTGCCACAAGAATTTTATGTGCAGTGTGCTGTGAGGTAACAGAGAATGAAAAGAACCCATCCAGTTGGAGGCACAGGAATGATAAGGAAGAGATTCATGCATTCAACAACTATTTAGTAAGTTCTTAATGTAGATGAAGTACTATTCTAGATGCCTGGGATCTGTCAATGAACAGAAAAAACACTAATCCCTGCCTTCATGGAGTGTGAATCCAGTGCAGAGTGGGGTAAAAGAAACAAATATAATAAAGAGAATATGAGTAAGTAAATTACAAGTAAAAGGAGCAACATTAGAGGGACTGCAAATGCCAAACAGACAAAGCAGATTACAATTTTAGATAAGGTGACCAGGATAGGCTTCAGTGAAGTGACTTTTTAAAAATTAAAAATTTATGGGGCGCCTGGGTGGCGCAGTCGGTTGGGCGTCCGACTTCTGCCAGGTCACGATCTCGCGGTCTGTGAGTTCGAGCCCCGCGTCGGGCTCTGGGCTGATGGCTCAGAGCCTGGAGCCTGTTTCCAATTCTGTGTCTCCCTCTCTCTCTGCCCCTCCCCTGTTCATGCTCTGTCTCTCTCTGTCCCAAAAAATAAATAAATGTTGAAAAAAAAAAAAATTAAAAAAAAAGAAAAAATAAAAATTAAAAATTTTTTTCTAGAAAGCGAGTGAGAAGGACAGAGGGAGAGAGAGAATCCCAAACGGACTCCATGCTCAGTGCAGAGCCCACTGTGGGACTCGATCCCACAACCCTGGGATCAAAACCCTGGCCAAAATCAAGAGTCAGACACTCAACCAACTGAGCCACTCAGCCACCCCCAGCGAGGTGACTTTTTAGCTAGACTTAAAGGAGGTGAATATTTGAGACTGACCCCAGATGAGAATGACTTAAACAGACATAAATAGAAAACAACAGGAGAAATGGTTTTTCAGGAAGAGTAACAGGCATATTTAGAAAAAAACAGGCAGGGGTGCCTGGGTGGCTCAGTCAGTTAGGCGTCTGACTTTGGC